GAATTTTTCGCAAAGCGACGCCGCAGCGCACTTCAGCCAATGTAACAGCAGCACTCCTATAGCGCTGCTACTTAGGCATCGAGTTATGTATCTGCCCCCACCCCCACCGCCGTGTTTTGCCGCCGGGTACCCCTAATAGCGGAGAGTTTCATGGGTCCCAAGTTTTACGCGGCGTGGGGCAAGCGGCCACCGCGCGCGGCGTACCTCCTGACGTGCAGCCATGCTTCTTTGATGTGCTAGTTGGGAATACGCTTCGCGTGCCTACTATTCCACTATCACATCAAAAGTAGTCTCAAGGGTTAGTCATACTGATGTATATCTGACAATCCAGGACCACTGCCAAGTGTAGTCCTATAGTGCCACCTATACAGCGTATGACTTGAAATGGGTCTGCCTTTTCGTTGGTGGTCTGCTAAAATGGTGTCATAGTTGCTCGTAATCTTGGACCTGCGGATCACGAGCAACTGTGGCACCACCTATAAGTAACTTCCCTAGAGCGGTGATTTTGTTAATCATAGTTATCCAAGTCGGAACTTCTTTCGTGGAGACCACTCAAGGGATAGTTGCTTCGTACCATATAAATTCTATAAATTTGCAGGATGAAGTCGTCGATGTTGACGACAGCACGGTCGATTCAGCTGATGTGGTCATGGCGGAGTTGGATGGGTAAGCTTTCATAAAACCCTATTCAGATTCACTTAAGTTGTTCGTCTTTTTGCGAAGAAGCTCTCTGTTCAGAGTACGATCGGCTGACCCAAATGAGATATCTATGCTAGTAGACATGTTTTATCTACCATTTGAATGCGGCAAGCGTGCTATGAACCTCTTGGAGCAGTTTTCATGGCTCTACGCCAATGCTATAGTTATGCGAGGGACCAGTGCACCTGAAGAGTAGGTTTTTTATATATGCTAAATTACTAACTAAAGTCTAATTTTACCCATTTTAGTACCCAACCTGTCACTCAAGATGAGTGGCGCAGACGGTTGAAGGTGTTCCAGGATAGCGTTCAAGTTGTAAATAATTTCTTCAAATATATTGTGGATTGTCCCAATAAGGCAAGTGTGCTCATTACAATTTCTAGGTTCTTTTGACTTTGATTTTTGTCACTATTCGCCATTTATCTAAAATTTTATGGTTTTATTGGAATTACTTCTTTTGACTTTGATATTTGCGGTCTTGTTGGTATTACTTATCTTACTGTTACCAATGTGGTCGATTTAGCCGCTCGTGTCTGAGCTCATTCCATATATATGGGATGCACATGGTAGTTGCGCTATCTTACTAGGTATAGCACGATGGATGAATGAAGGATATTTGACTGCTCGACCAGGTTCGTTCTTTCCTGATCTCAGGTGACTTCTTTCTGGTTCGTAGCATTGCTCGTGAAGCGCAAGCGCGCTATCTATCTAAAATTTTTCCCATAAGATTGATGAAAGTAACATTCTTCTCTTTAATGGTGGACATTCGTAATGATTGATGGGATGCAAACAGCCAACTGTCATACTTTTTAGATGAACAGTTGCGATCGTGGACTAGCGATCGAGAAGACGAACCATGGATGATAAATGGAGGATTCCTCTCCGAATGTTCTAGGTATGAT